AGCGGCGGGCGCCACGTCGAAACGGCCGCTTTGAAATTGCTCGGGCTTGTGCAAAACCCGCCACCTCAAAAACCTGCAGTGTCTTGTGTCTGGACCTCTAGGCCATGTCCGGTGGGGTGAAAGGACACTTAAAAATCACCCCGTTATTTTTCGAGGGGCGGCTAGGACGCGACAAACGTCCCGGGCCGCCCCATTTTTTTTTTTGATTTTTGCCCCAGGGGCCTCCATCCAGACATGGGGAGGGGACACCGGACACCAGACACTGGACACCGGACTGTCTGGAACCCGGTCCGGACGTCCGGGTGGTTACCATGGTTTCTTGTTAGCAAACTTGATCATGGCATCCTGGCGGTAAAAAACATGCACCATACCATCGCAACACTTCAGGAGAAGAATACACTTTTGAATGGAGTCGAGTCCAAAGGCAAGGAAGAGACATCAGCGACACACACACGCCACAAACAGCAAGGCAATACATAGGCTGGAGGGCACGGGGGAGGAGGGGGGGGCGCACCACACACAAGCAGCAGACGGCAGGCAACAGAAAAGTGAACAAGGGCTGAAAGGCGCGAGGGATATAGGATGTCAGACAACACACAAGGTAGGCAAATCAGAAAAAAAATACAAGTCAAAGACCAAACAAAACGAAAACCGATGATGAGAGATACTCATCAGGAGGCTGAACCCTCGACAATCTGCGAAATCTCCGTATTTGATGGTTTGGGCCGTGCACCCTTTTGACCCTTGTTGAAGGCAGACTGTCCCCAAGCGGAACATAGCAGGGGGCAGCAACCCTGTGGAGCACCAGGCAACACAGTAGAGGCAACACGGCTGCACAATGCCAAAAACGACTGCAAGGAACGACATGGCACATAGGACATGCAGCGCGGCAACAGTATGGTGAAGCACAAGACAACACAAACAAGGCAACCACACTGCATGGGGCGAGTGGGCGAGCGGGCCAGCAGCTCAGCAACCGTGGAGCGAAGCACAAGGCATCAGCAATGAGGCAACCATCCGACAAGGCCCGCGAGAAGCAAACACGGAAGAAGAAGACCAGCGAAGCGCAAGGCAACACCAACAACACGGCCAAACCACACACAGAACACATAAACCTGCAAAGAACCACATGTGAAGCAAGCGGGACAGGCACCAGGGCAGCGGTGGAGCGCAGACGAGGCTGTCCACACATCCAACACGGAGCAAAGCGGTACATGACCTACTCACATAACGATTGAACCCCGCAGACTGTTGGTTCCCACCATCCACTGAGCCAGGGAGACACTTCGACGAGCATCCGTCATCACCCACAGGCAACACAGACACCCCAAACCGAGCCCCCCCCCTAAGAGTGCAGCAGGCACTCCAGACGTGGAACCACCGACTGTTTGGCACTACTTAAAGGTGCTCAGTTGGGCACACAGAAAAATACTTAGAAAAAATCAGAGGGAGGACAGACAACAGGAAAAAGACTGACAGCCATAAACTGATTGTGTGTGTGTGTGGGTGTGTGTGTGTGTGTGTGTGTCTGTGTGTGTGCGTGTGTGTGTCCGAGTGTACCTGTTACTGCTGTTTTCAGCTTGTTGCAGTGCTTGACATGATGTACTCCCAGATACAATACGACATATTCTTTATTGATTGGGAGAAACCACATATCTTGATTGCGACGCATGGAAAGGGAGAGAAAGAGTATGCCCCCGTCAGTGTCTGGCGTACTTTCTTCGTGGCGAATGAGTGGAACAGGTTGCAGGTACCACAGAGTCTTTTCTTCTACACTTTTCACCTCTGAAAGAGGCATAGATCTCTCTTCTAAGCCCTGCTTCTATTTTTGCCAGGTGAAGCTAGGTTGCTAGCAGGGTCTACTCTTAATAGGAATTTAATGTGAACTGAATCTGGCTGCAAGCCTGCAAGTGAGTCCTGATACCCGCAGGAAAACCCTATGACAATCTGAGGTGAGTACATTCCTGTGAGACTGCTCAGATCACAAAGCCTGTAGCACTGTGAACCGACCGTCATTGAACATTATTGTTCATCTGTCTGTTTGTCTGACTGTTTGTATAACTGTTTGTCTGCCTCTCTCCCCTTTTTCTTTGTTTTTAATTTTTTTTTGGTTGTTTTTTGTTTTGTTTTTGACAATAGAAACTTTGGAATTATCTATCTGTCTTTCTTGCTGTTCGTCTGTTCGTTTGCCCCTGACATTACTTCCATCGGACCAACGTCTGCGCACTGTCTATTCGAGCGTCTACCACTGTCTGGCCATTGATCCAGCCTTCTGTTCGCCCTGCTGTGCAGCGTTCTGCTTGCCATAATATATTATTATTATTATTATAACCAGAGGTCCAAAACAGACAATTTCATTATAATATCAAGTCGAGGCCGGGGACCTCACAATTCTACCCGGGGTACTGACAGCATCAGCGAGCTTAGCTTACAGGCATATATTATTAATTTATTACTTATTAAGTTATTAGTAATAAGTTACTAAATTACTAATAAGCTGTAAAAAAAAAACAAAAAAAAAACTAATAAGCTAGTTATAACCCGTTATTTTAAATATTTCAAATCATTGTTGCTGTTATTGTTATTATTATTATTTTCCCAATTTTCGGGCCGTATGGCTCACCCAACTGTCTGTCTCTTTCTTCCTCCCTTTCGCCTGACAGTGTCTGTCAATCTGCTCAAGTCTGGCCATTCAGCTTGCCCTCTTTCTTCTTTTTGTTCTTTTCATGAAGGGGGTTTGCCCCTGCAGTTATTGGATCCATTAGGATTCGAGCTGGTGATCTGTTCAATCAAGAGTTACAGGATGGTACAATTCAGCCAGCAGACAGGCTGGGTATTGATCTAGCCTCACCTTTCTGTTCTCCCCACTTGCAGTTTTCTGCATGTCATTTAACCCCCACAGTCTGGCGAACCAACTGTCCGTCCGTATCTTTCTTCTTCCCGTTTCTCCAACTTTCCAAATTTGGCTGTTCATCCAGCCATTTGCTCGTCCTGGCATGAAGCCCTCTGCCGCTCTGCATGCCGACTCTCCAGCTGCTCAGCTCACCCAACTGTCTGTTTCCTTTTCTTCTTCTTCTTCTTCTTTTCTTTTCAAAAAGGGCGACGACCTTGACACATTATCGTCGAACTGATTGGCCCCAGGTAACTCAGGATTATTTTGTTCCATCCAATGATCTACTAGTTCCATTATCTGGGTTCGAACTCTGGTCCTGCTGGTCGAACTCTGGTCCATCTGGGTTCGAGCTCTGGTCCTGCTGGTCAAACTCTGGTCCATCTGGGTTCGAACTCTGGTCCTGCTGGTCGAACTCTGGTCCATCTGGGTTCGAACTCTGGTCCTGCTCATCGAACTCGGGTTCATCTGGGTTCGAACTGTGGTCTGTATTTCTACAGTGAATGGGTGGGTCTACCAACTGAGCTAGTCCTGCTGGTCCAACTCCGCTTCTTAACGTTGGTACTTCATTCCTTCTGCCCAATGCATCCCCTTTAGTCAATCCGTTCTCAACCTATTGGTTAATAGGTGTTTGCCAGGCAAGCGGTACGTGTTGTGTGTCGGATTCTTGCAGTAACTACCATTTCGTCAAAATGGACATCCGTTAAAATTGGAACGATACAGATAAGATTAGCATGGCCCCTGCACAAGGATGACACGCATAAATCGAGAAATGGGCCAAATTAAAAAAAAAAAAAAGTTTTTTATGCCCGGCCGGGCCTGCCCGGGCGTGACGCCCGAGGGGGTCTGATGCCCGGGGAACCCGGGCGTGCAAATTTTTTTTTCTTTTTTTTTTTTTTTTTTTTTTTTTTACCTTTCTGCGCTTTCTCAGGGGACCCCAAATCCGGGCTCATTTCATTTTTTCAGAGTTGGCTGTCAAGGGGGGGCGAAGGGGGGTATAAATTATTTTTAAAGGGGCTAAGAGGGGTTAAAGGGGGGGTCCTTTAGTGTGATTTTGTTATTTTCTTTTTTATCTCCAATTCGGTGAGGAATTCTGATGTGACCCTCAGCCAAAAGTTGTTTGTATTGCAATTCTACACAAATTTTTTTTTTTTTTCTGGAATTTTTATACTTTCCCTTTTTCTTTTTTTTTTTTTTTNTTTTTCTTTTTTTTTTTTCTTTTTTTTTTTTTACCTTTCTGCGCTTTCTCAGAGGACCCCAAATCCGGGCTCATTTCATTTTTGCAGAGTTGGCTGTCAAGGGGGGGGAAGGGGGGTATAAATTATTTTTAAAGGGGCTAAGAGGGGTTAAAGGGGGGTCCTTTAGTGTGATTTTGTTATTTTCTTTTTTATCTCCAATTCGGTGAGGAATTCTGATGTGACCCTCAGCCAAAAGTTATTTGTATTGCAATTCTACACAACATATTGTTTTTAGGGAATTTTTTGACTTTCGATTTTTTTTTGATTTTTTTTTTTGTGCTGGGACTGCCCAGAACCCTGCCCGGGGGTCATATGCCCGGCCGGGCACCCGGGGGTCATGCCCGGCCGGGCACCCGGGCGGGTATCCGGGCACAAGTTGGGTGCCCGGGCGCCCAGAAAAACAACCTAGGTTTTTTCAACTTTTTTGGCCGAAAAATCGTCAAAATTTTGCTGCTCCTGAGGGTCCGGCGTTTTAGAAATGTCGGCCCCCCTGGATGTATCAGGACTAAGCTTGAGACCAGATACATCCAGGGAGGACCTCCTGGATGTATCTGGTCTCAAGCTTAGTCCTGATACATCCAGGGGGTCCGGCGTTCTAAAAACGAAGGACCCTCAGGAGCAGCAAAATTTAGACGAGTGTTCGGCCAAAGAAGTTGAAAAAACTCAGTTTCAATTTCGTTCAAAAAGTATAAAATGTCCATTTTGACGAAATGGTAATTCAGTGGACATGGACATGCACATTCTCTGCCAGTATGCTCACCATCTACGTGGCCTGGGACTGCTCCTGCTCATGCATGCAGAGAATGGTGACTTGATTTCTCACCCTGGGGCTAGCCATGATGCACAGCTCCTCACCAATAGATCGGAGCCATCCATCGTAATGATAGGGAAAAAAAGGGAAAAAAGAAAAAAATAATAAGTCCATGATTATATCTTCTGACTGTCTCTCCATCTCTCCATCTCCAATTTCTTGTCTACAGCTGGCCGGACCAACTCCCCTTTCATGGAGACTATGGGAATTCTACTTTCGAGTATCGACTCTGCCTAGGTCTTCCTCTAGGGCTAGTCATGATGAACTTCATTATGGCTGGGATTTGAACCATTATGTATGGACTGCTATAAAGATAGGATTGTAATTTTTGAGCAACCATTGCCAACCAATAACACTCAACCGATTGAACAAGAATCAATACGCTTTCCGTGTCTGCCCATAGGATTTGACACACACACACACACACACACACACACACACACACACACACACACACACACACACACACACACACACACACACACACATCACACACACACGTGGGAGGCTTTACTCTCACGGAGGACAGAATGTGAGAAAAACAGAGCCGCAGCATCACCCTTCTGCCCCCTGCACTCAGGGCCCGCCCCTGCCATGACAAACTACCATGCCTGTCTGTACCATCGGCTTCCGTTTTAACTGCCTTTTTGAACTCAGGCTGTGAGAGAACTGCCGATATGAGTTTTTTTTAGCCTATCGGAAAGTTACTCGATTCTTGAATGAGACATACCTGCCCCTTTTTTCTTATGAGCTCACACGCCGCTCTTCTTTACTTCTCTACTGGGGAGATGAGACTGACAAAACTTGTACCATGGAAGCGAAACTCCCTTTTGTTGCAAAAAGAGTCAGCTATAGTCCAATCTCGGGTAGGTACTAGGCACCACTAAGTTTGTGCTATCTGGCATTGCAATGCAGCTGCATTGAATGCTTTATATTTGCAGCCACTAAATAACTCTGGACTCCAGCCAGGCATTCAGATGTTCTCGCCTCTCTCTCTGACGATACCAGGCGTTCTTTCTTTGGAAAAGCAACTTGTAGATCGCCTTGACTGTAAGGTCTCTTCTTACCGACTCCCCCCTGTCCTACCGTCTTCACCCGAATAGAACGCCCGGTCATTATAGCTGTATTTGGCACAACTTTCAGCCCAGATACGGCGATAATTACCGGGCGTTCTATTCGGGTAAAGATGGTAGTCCAAAACAGTTAAGAACTTCACGGGCTGCAGTCCAGTGAGTTTGGGGGTTGGGGGCCGACTCATCAGGATCATGGGGAAAGTTAGGCATCGGTATATTCATTCAGATTAAAGGCTATGCATAGTATGCAATCCTCTCTTTACTTTTATCCCTCCCTCCCTCCGTTCTTCCCCCGACTTTTCACCCTCCCCTCCTCTCCCTTTTCCTCTTTCCCGACTTCATCCCTCCCCCCCCCCCTCCCGCCTCTCAACCTGGAGCATGGTCTACTAGCAACGGGATAGGATAGAAAAGAGTTTGTGTGGCAGCTGAGTGACCCAAGTCCTGCCGTAGAGTACTCGTGAGTGATCCCACGGTCAGTATTTTACATGTGTTACCCGAACAACGAAGGAGATCTTTGTTCCCCTCCTCCTCTCCTTAACACTGAGCATGCCCGTGCAAAATATATATATATATATATATATATATATATATATATATCGTCACAAATAGAACTGCCCGGTAAACCGTAGGCAGAGAGGGAGAAGAGAGAAGAGGACAACAAACGAGGGGCTGTG